TTATCATAAAATTAGCCTCACTTATTCTGGCACACAAAATAAAATTAAAAAACTCCCCACAAAAATCTATCATACACAGGTTAACAGGAGGTTAGCAGCACTGAAGATGACTCACTACAATTCAAGAATTTTATTACAAAATGCAGGAAAACACAGGTAAATTAAACAAAGTTATAAATGGCCCGTCAGGATTTACCTATACTTAAATTTCCCAGATAAAGGATAGACATCTACTTCCTACTTCAGGGTGTAATATACTTCTGCTTTAGCTACTCTAAACCCCTACAATAAGTAGGGTCCCTTCTTATAGAAAGTGGTTTGGAAGCTGTCCACAAGAAACAGTTGAAGAAATGGTAATTGAGCTGAAAACATTTTTTATTAATCATTCTTTTTTGTAGCATAATTGTATAACTGTGAGTTCTCTTTCTTGTCTGAATCATTGTTTCCCCTGAGACATGATGATTATGTATATGATAAATAGCAGTGTTAGCTCTCTGAACATAATGTAGACAGCTAATAATATAGTATATGTGTTTGTTTTTCCCGACTATAGAAATTTGGGAGACAAAATTGGTTGGTGCTCAGTGCCCTGATTCAAGCAAGAAGTACTCCCTTTGAGTATACATTCCAATATTGATTTGGAAGACAAAATATTAGTTGCAACTCAGATCAACACTGTGTAAGTTCTATTGCCCAAGGTATCATATTTTCAAAGTGCCAAGTACAGGGCAAGGATTCCTGGTTTGTGAGGGAGCAAAGTAATTTTGTTTTGTTATTTTACTCTTTGAGTTGTTTCAAAGACAGAAGGGATAGACTGCTTCTGACACTGAACATTTGAGGTGATAATCTCTTGTGCCACGACTGTAGTTTGACAGGCACTTGGAGCATAAGAGGTAGTTCAGAGGGCTGAGGTTGAAATGATGAACAACTGCTATATGAACCTGGAAGGCTGAAACCAAATAAAAATCAAACATAGGTTGTACATAGGAAGTCATTAAACATTTTGATCAAATGGCAAAAAAGCGAAAAAGGCATAGAAATAATAAGCCAAATTTAAGAAAAGGAGAGCCATGTTTGAGTCTCTTACTTTCTTAAGGAGACTCTTAGAGTGCTGACATTCAGGCCCCAATTCTAACTCATGGCACTTCACATAAAGCACCATCAATTTAAGCACCCCTCCACTTGTTGAGGGGGGGGGGGAATCAAGCTGACCTAGCAAGCCAAGAAGTCACCCCTCTCCCTAGACATGCACCCCTGGGGCTGTCAGCAGGGTTCCAGGGCTGTCAGCAGGGAGGGAGTGGGGAGGAGGGAGGGACAAGCCAGCAGCAGTGAGCTGTTCCTTTCATGAGCTGCCAGCTTGCCTGGCCTGAGCTGGAAGAGGGGCCTAGATTATAGCCACCCTTTCCTCATGGGCCTGGCCTGGCTCCCCCCAGTACCTCAGCTGGGGGGTTGGAGAGGTCTGTGAGGTGGAGGGGCTCCAAGCCATACCCCCTCCAGCTCAGGATGGGCAAGCTGGCAGCTCATGAAAGTAGCATCTCCTTGCTGCTGGCTTGCCCCTCCCTGCTCCTTCCCTGATGACAGCCCCAGGGGTAGGGCTGAGCTGCATCAGCACAACTCTGATCATGCAAAAAATTAACCCTAGAGAAGGAACACATGTTCCCTAAGGCACGCTTAAGCAGAGCAGCTTCATCTGATACCTCATTTGAGGAGGGTTAATTTTTCACACTATTGGCCCCTTCAGAGGTACTCTGCAGCCATGCACATGTGTAGAGCACTTTCAGGGGCCTGATTGTGCAAAACAATGTAACTTCTGTCTGCACCCCAAAAGACTCAAGAGAATCACCTGGGGTCTGCACTGGGGCGGTTCCAGACTCCTGTGTTATCCCAGGACTGGGACCCACAATCAGCTCCAATGCAGTCCTGGGGCTGAAAATCAGTTGATTGTGGGCCCCTTCCCCAGTACTGCACCAGAGCTGGTTCTAGATTCTGGAATCGTGGAATTTGGTATTGTCAATTAATTGTAGGACTTCATCCTCCTGATCAGCCACCTCATCGACAATTAAGTGTTTTTAGTATGGTTTGGTTGAACCTCTGACATACACTAGGGTCTATGTTTTCAAAAATAACTAGTGATTTGGGGTGCCTGAATTTTTTAGGGCTTTTCTTGAGACACCTTAAAGGGGCTGATTTTCTAAAAATGGATTCTCAGTGCCTTCTGAACATTTGAAAAGTTGGTAGAAGTGTGTGAGTATCTTGGGTCACATTCAGACCAGTGGTGGGCTCCAACTAGTAAGCAAATAAAAGGCCAAAAGTTGTTTGTATCTGATTTGCATACCTTATCTGGACAACATGTGTGCCTTTATATTTGAGCATAAAAATACTATAAAGTGAACCACATAGTGTGTGTTCTGTTTTATTCCTCCTTTATTTTTCTCCCCCACTATTTTATACAATATTTTCTTTTTCCTAGGAAAATATTTTCCTCAACCGTATAGATATATGTTGGGAAAAAGTCACAACCCTGTTTCCTGAAAAAAAATCATTCTAGTCACCCTCTTAATACTGGCCTAAGATCTTCCCATATCAGTTGAAGCTGTATGCATTAGTTGAAGGCCTTTATGTTATGTTATAACTAGAACCATCAACAGGAAATGGATCTGGATAAAAGACAGAGCTCAGGGTTGCTGTTTGAAATGTAGTTGTAAGTTTCCTCATTTTCAGAGGAACAATATATTTTGTTATTCAAATAATGTTTTGCTAGATTTATGTCAATTGATTTGCAAACTGCTGTCTACTTTTGGTATTAGCTTGTGAATGTAGCTACATTTCAGTTTTACCCAGACTACTTTGTATACCATGATCTTTTCCACAAGTCAGGAAATGGTAAAGTATGCTTTAATTATTCATACACTTGGCCCCTTCAAAGGCGCTCTGCAGCCATGCACTTTCAGGGCCCTGATTGTGCAAAAAAATATAACTTCTGTCTGTGCCCCAAAAGACTCAAGAGAATCACCTGGGGTCTGCACTAGAGTGGTTCCAGACTCCTGTGCTGTCCACACTATACATAATTTATTCTAAAATAAAAAATCTAGTTCCTAAACACACACACACAATGAGAGAGAGAGAAAATTCTGATCAAGTGATGTAGGGTAATTTGTGTTCTAGTTATAGAGAGGAAAAGTGCTTAGAACTAGTATATTATAATACTTGGCTTTTCTATGGATATCCTTATTTCAATTGCCTACTAAGGAGCATCCTTTTGGTTTTAATTTTACTGCCACAGCTTACAAAAATAGGAAATCATTACATTCTTATTTATATCTGTTTATTTTGGCCCACATGGTAAATCAGATAAAAATGGCAAACTGGATGTGCCCACAAATGGATCCAGGATTTCACAAGAGGAAAAGTGGGAGCTGTGACTAGCACAGCTGGGGTGGCTGCACCCCCCACTTCCTGCATCAGGATGGGCAGACTGCACCATAAAAGCGGCAGATGGGAACTTTATTAAGTCCCCCCAAGCAGGTAAAGAATTCCTCCTTCCCTTCCCCTCCCTGCTCAGAGGCGCACCCCTCTCCTCCCCTCCCCTTCCCCCTACCCTGTCCACTGCTGCCACTATTCCTGGTGTCCCAGAGCCTGAGGGGAGCTCTAGAATTGCTGCTGCCCAGCTCCACCTGGGCTGCACAGGGGCCAGCCTCAGCCTGGGACAGCCAGTGATGATGGGAGGAGTTTCCTCTCCCAGCACCTGCTTCTGGGCTGGATGGGAACACCCAGAGACTGGGCATGGACTACATGCCACTACTACTATCCTTGGCTAAGCCTGGCCTCTATGAAGCCCAGGTAGAACTGGGCAGAAGTAGCTCTGGAGCTTCTCTCACCCCGGGAAAGTGGGGACAGCAGCAGCAGTGGGTGGGAGAGAGGGGGTGGGAAGGGAGAGAGGAAGGAGAGAGCTGGTGGGACGTACCTCTGAGCACAAACGGGAAGACAGGGTGGTGAATTCTAATCTGGTTGGGGGACTTTAAAAAGTCCCCAGCTGCTGCTCCTGTGGCTTGGTCAAAAAGCAGGGGTGTGACTGCCATTTCACCCACCTCTGAATCCATCCCTGGACATACCAGCTGTCTTTAATTTGGCTTATGCTGTGTTCATATTTTTTTGTCTCTTAACTTCAGCTGCTCATTGCAGCTGAAAATATGTCATTGGAGACAATGGCACAACCTCCTTTCCCTCAAAATATGTGCTCAGTGAGTGCATCTACATGTTCGTTAATGCGCAGTAGTTATGCATTTAATTGAGTACTTGCTTAATGAAGTACTAACTAAATGTGCAGTAGCACGAGTTACTGTGCAGTAGCACCAGTGCATGGGTTTTTAGTGATGCTTACTCCACTGTATCCTAATACTACTGTGCATAGCATATTACCATTGTTTTTGCCTGGCACATTACTGCTCAGTGTTATTAGGCTACTGTGCAATAAGCAGCTCCTATAGACATTCCCAGTAACATCTTAAATAGGTTTGCAGAGCTGTCACTGATTGGAACCTAAGAATTCTGTTGATAAAATTTCAACAAAGGACAGAATCTGCCATTGGTTCTGTTGTACAAACAGCCTCTTTTTGTCCAAGTCAACATACATGACTGAATATAGTCAGGAAACAGATAGTTTGACAAAGTGGTAGAGTTTTAGAGTTCCTTTTCAAAAGCAGATCCACACGTTAACAATGCACATCCTTTCATAGCATCTTGCAAAGCAGGCTGTAGTTTACAACCAAAAAAATCGCATGCATCTCTGAACGAGTTGTTCCATAAAGTGCCACCCTGCCCTGCCTTCTGCCAATAAAATTTTGGATATGTACTTTAAACATTAACTCCATGTTTCACAGGGAATTGTCATCTCGTGCTTTTATGCCAATAGGTTACATAAAGCACCTCAAAGTGTAGTAAAGTAAAAGGATAAACAGTTTACTTTGTCTTTAACCCTTAGTTATCCTTTTCCCTTTCAGCACCCTCCTTGATTGGGATGGTAAGGAAGGACTGGGCTTCCCAGAACAGCATTGCCCTCTCGTGGCAAGAGCCTGACTTTCCCAGTGGAGCCATTCTGGACTATGAGATCAAGTACTATGAGAAAGTAGGTCTTGCTTAGAGCTTCAGCCAAAATCAAATATTACATAACAACATGTTACATTTTTGTTTGTGTTTTTTTAAATCTCTTACACTTGTTATCACTTGGTCCCACATACAATCAGTTCATTTCATTTGGTATAGATCTATTTTATGATTTGTTAATAGTTGTCTTATTTAATGTCAGATTGAAGGACAGTGGAAAACAAGTGATATGTACATCTATTATGAGACCATGGTGCAGAGGTTTATAAAAGCCTAATTTTTTATTGAGGATTATAAAATTGGTTAAATGTATAATAATTTCTAATATGCTTTGGGGGTTTTTTAAATTTATGGACTACAACAACTATATGTTAGCATAATATTTTGGGTATAATACAATTATGCTTAATATTTTTGAGATTACATTTTGTTATATTAACTTGCAACAACCCAAGACAGAATTAGACAGTACACCTTTTCTAGATGTAATCTTAAGAAAAAATAGTTTATAATTAATACCCCATTTTTGAAGATCATAAAGAGAGAAACTACATCATGTTATAATCTGGGCCCAAAATCTTTGGCTAAGTATAGACTTCCAAAAAGCCTGAGGCAGAATCAGTCCCATCTACATGAGTTTCTCTAAGCTGTGTAGATTGGATCAGCAGTGAATTGAACACATGCTTGCCTTTTGGTAGGGGACGGCACACAAAAGCCTGCACTTGCAGAGGCTAGAAGGCAGGGGGTGCTCCCACACACCTCCCAGCATGCCAGAGATGGCTAAGGGCAACTGATTGCAGCCGAATGGCTGCACCATTCCTGACTGTCTGTCAGCTACTTGTCTCCCACTGCTGCCCTCTCATCATTCAGACAGTGGTCAACTGTATGCAGGCAGTGGAAGGAGGCATGCTTACCCCCACACAGGGCACCTTTGTCTGGGGTGGGGGCCACAGGGTTCCTTGCAGCTGTAAGGGCATGGCTGTCCCCTACCCCTGCCCCAGGGACTGGAGCTCTGCAGTTGCATGGGAAGCAGTTTCAGCCCAGAACTCGGTGCTGGCTCCAGGGAGGAAATCCTTTGAGCCCTTACCAGAGCAGCTCCAGCGCACAGTCCTGGGACTTGAACTGAACTGGGACAAGGGACCTGCCAACCGAGGCTGGGAATGCAGGATGTGCCACTGGCACTGCCCCCACCAGCAGTTCATGAGCCCTGCTAGAGACAGCTAGAGAGCCTGATGGCAGGGGCTGCTAGGCACTCAGCTGGAGGAGCCAAGCCACAGCTTCCTGAGATGGGGGTTAGTAGGGAGCCTGCAATTGCCCCAGGATGCCAGCAGACAGAAACCTATCTTGATTCATGAGTGGACTGATGTCAATTCATTGGTCTAACCTAGTTCTAGTCAGTCTGATACTACATCCATCCAGACCTATCTTAGACCAGGATCTGCCATTGTTAAAGCAGTCTTTGTACCCAAACTTCTGTTCTGTTGTGGCTGTTGACCAGCTTCTGACTACCTAAACTGGAAAAAGTGTAATGTGGTTACCTGGCCTTCAAGTCCACATGGGCAAAGATGCATTTACACTGCTTCATATTCCAGATGTAGACATGCAGAGACCATTTTATGTAAACATAAATTGGGGTCTGCATTTCTACAAAGCACTGCATGTATCTTTGCACACCCCTATTTGAAGACTAGGCCTTGATGCAGTATTAAACTAGTGGTAACTGGTCCCTTCATTCCTATATACATTAGTTTTCAGGGATCTGCATCTTAAATCTGTTAACAGCCAAGCTAACATCTTAATCAAGGAAATGGAGAATAGTCCTAAGAAAGGATATATAAATCCAGCATGGGAAGAACGTTGTGATTTGGGAGAGGGGAGTTATTGTGTTTGTTATAAATATCAGGGGTTCTTATTTTTCAGTTTGAGAAGTTGCAAATTTGCCAATCTGTGCCCAGATTATGCAGGCTGGCGTAATGAGAAAGATGCTGTTCAGGGCCACCTTGAAAAAAGCCCAACCACTGAAATTATTCAGAAAAAGGACAGTCGTTTAGCTTATTTGGTACAAAATCAAGAAGGCATAAACTTTCCACAGTTCTCAGAGGTGCTGAAAAATCTTTAGTACCACAGCTTTTCCTATAGCCTTTGAGCTGATAGTTTGAGCTGATGCTTGTTTTGTTCATTAATAACCAAGCATCCAAAAGTGAATTAAAAAGGTAAATACTCTTTTTATAGATTAAATAAATTGCTCAAACAGGAACCCAGTTGCAAAGATCTGTCCCCTAAGGTTTAGCAAGTACATTAAGTTATAAGCATAATATTTGCACAAACTCTAAAATCAGATTATACTCTGAGGACAGTGCCAGGTTACCAAGAAAGCCAGCCCAGAATTCCCCTTAGTGGTGTCAACACTGCACTAAAATCTAAACACACCTGAGAGATTTGTCCTTTGTACAACATGGCTAGAATCACGCGTTTCACAATTCTAATGGGAGGGTACACGTCAAACAAGCTCTTTCCAATTTCACCAGGGAAAAATCTTTTCTCCTTCTCCTTTATAAAGAATCATGGGTAGCTTTCTATTACAAATAATTCCTTTCCTCTTAGACATGGCAGGCCATACCCACTGGTGGCTGAAACAGGTGACATTCCCTAGTGGTTATTTTGCCCCAAGTGCTTTCTGGTAGTCACTTATTGAACTGGATCAATGTGTTTTGAACAAAACAGCTTTTGTCAGGAGCCTTCAGGACACAGTGTTCCTAGCCGTGCTAATTAGAAGGCAAACTGGGAGACAAGCAGGGGCAGAGGCAACAATAGGAAAATCATTAATAGAAAAAAAGATACATCACAACACTTTGAAACATCAAGCATAGATCACTCTTGGAAGCCAGATTCAGGAGCAGACACAGAGCAATGGTCTGTTACGGTGAATCCTATGCTCTTATATGATATTGAAATAGGAAATGTGATTATATAGTACTGTAGGAGTGCATGCAGTCCTGCAGACATTCTAGTTTAATCTCCAAATGCAAAGCAGATAGTACACAAAGATGAAGTAGAAAGCCCCTACCACAAATCAAAAGAATATAAATGTGAACAGTTTCTAAAAGCCCGTGGGAATGGCACCGATGGAGTGCCTGGAATCTCATAGGCTTTGCCGACAACATTCAATATTAGAAATATCAGCATCCAAATTCTCCACAGCCATGATGAGCAGAAAATTGAACTATTGTCATAAAACTATAAAGGATGTAGAAAGTGTGAGATGACAACGTAGAGAATTATGAATGAGTTACTACATAGACATTAATCTAGTGTAGACTTCGAAAAATGTAGCAGTTTATAGCTAACTGGAGTACCACAGGGCACAGAAGGTTTGAATATGGAATTCTTGCTGCACTGTTTACTCTAGGTCTCTCTTAAATAGTTATAAGCCCTCAAAATGAGCCCATCTATCAGGCTTAAGCCCAAGACATTAAAGACATTTGTGTACACAGTGAATGTGAAATTGCCACTTTGCCAAGCTGAGGAAAGTCTGAAGGAGATCATAAAAATGCAACTACTAAAATTCACTTCCCTCCACTATTGATAGAGATGAAAAAGAATGGAACAGGTATGGTAGATAATGCTTTATGTTTTCCATTTATGCCTCTCATTCACTCAACAGACAGTGTGCATAGCTGAATGCTTCCAACTAACAGTACCATATCTGGGACAGCACCCTAAATCTGATACCCCAAATTCAATAGAGCTGAGAAAGCCTAACAGTTGTTAAATGCTTATATGAATAAACTTTGAGAGTATCTTTGAGTGAGAAGGATATTGATATAAATATACTTTTCCTCCTATATTTCTGTTACCAGTCAACTGTTATCAGTCAACAAATGCAAATAGTATCTAGCTCCCTATTTTAGCTGAAAGGAAGTTTCCAGTAATACAATCTATATTTAAGTTTTATATCTGTATTGCCAGTATGCCTGTGAGTGCCTGCATAAGAATGTTGATGCAAACAGAAATGAAAATATGACAAAAAAGGCTGGAAATGTTTCTGAAAAGGAATACAATTTTAAAAACTGTAAAAATGACAAATAGGATAGGCTTCTGCCTGTCTGTATGCACCGATTGTGAATGGGCCTGAACTTGTTACTTCACTGAAGTCAGTCAAGCGCAGGATTTCTCTGTGAAAAATAGAATAGCTTTTCTAAGATTCTGTCCAATCATAGGAAAACAAATATAGAATAGGAGAGTTATACCAGGATTTCAAAGATGTGAGTACAAAATGCAGAAATAAATACATTTATACATGGTAACAAAAGAAGATACTGTAGAGCAGCTTCTGCCCTCAACTCTTGCTCAGTTAATGCTTAGAATCATGACTTCAATATTTTAAATTGTAATCAGCTCCTAAAAGTGAAAAAGCCTAAAAATAAAAAACCCCTTGTGTCCTTAATTCTTAGCTAGCTCCATATATTCCTTGTACTTTTGTACTTCCATATCCTGAAATGCACGACCAGTTATGCTTGGTGGAGAGACATATCCCAGGTTACCAGAGTTCTGAGATAGGATCCAATAGTGCAGTTCTGCAGCGAGTGGAACTTAACCTGAAAAAGGAGCATGCAGCTGGCTTGGTGTGGCAAGAGAACAAAAAAAAATGTGAGAAACTCAGTCCAGAACCCTGGGAGTTTTCATTACAGCCTGATGGAAAGTTTTTATTTGCTTGAATAATTATGCAATATTATCAGACAGAAAATATCATGCCTCTGAAATAATATTGTGTCTTGAGACTTGGCAAATTGAAATATCTTATTTCTAACAGATGATGAATCATTCCAAAACCTGTCCATTTAGCAATATTTGTCACCTTAGATGATAAGTGAGTCTCAACAGAGACATGCAAAGAATCCAATAAATATTTGACCCCAGAGATCCATGAGTTACTCTGCAGAAATTTTTTGCTATCTCCTATTCACCATCCTCAGGAATACTAGGTATTTGTAAATTAAATCTTTTGGTGTGTCCATTATC